ACGTTTGGTGCTGCACAGTAAAGCAGGAAAACCATTTCTGCTAACAGTTGTTCCTTCTCTCAAGTTTCAGCTATCACCTTTGGCCTCGCATCTTCCAACACACGTGTGTCTTGTACAAATCCTGGTTACCTCACAAAGCCTTCCTTCCCTTGCCGAGAAACAAGCCATTCCGCGCCACAGATGAATGAATGGCTGGGGTTGGCAGGGACCTGGGGAAGTCGTCTGGCCAAACCCCTGCGCAAGCAGGGTCACCTGGAGCCGGCTGGTTGCCCAGCACCGTGTCCAGACAGATTCTGAGTGTCGCTGAGGATGGAGACTGCACCACCTCTGTGGGAACGGTTCCAGTCCTTACGTCACCCTCACAGCAGAAAGTGTTTCCTGGTGTACAGGGAGAACATCCTGCGTTTCAGTGCGTGCCCGTTCCCTTGTGCTGTCACTGGGCACCACTGAAAAGAGCCTCGCTCCATCTTTTTTACACTCTCCCTTCAGATATTTATATCCATTGGCAAGATTCCTCCCAAAGCCTTCTCTTCTCCAGGCTGAACAGTCCCAGCTCTTTCAGAGAAGCTCCAGGTCCAAGAGGCACAGAACTACACAACATCACTACCAGGCCCTTCTTATTTTTTATTCCTCATTTTCACAACTATTCCTCTGCCCAGCATGCCAAATTAAGCCAGGTAAGTCACCAAGGTGATCTCCAAAGACAGAGGAATTTGCATGAATTGCATCAGGGCAACTTCCTTCTCCTCCTCAAGTCTTTGCGGACCTTGAGAAGAGCTGCTGCAAATGTACGGTGCTGGTGACAGTTTTTGATGATACCCGTTAAATGCTGGCCTTCACTGTCATCCAGAACTGCTCATCTTCTTTCCTCAGCACGTTTAATCGCTGAAGTCTTTGAATTTAATAACAGAAAAAAAGCTTCAAAGTTGGCCAAACCGTTAATATCCTTGATTCCTGGGCAACTTTCTGATCTAGCGCCATCAGGCTGCTGATTCTCTCTTTAATGGAACTTTAATGGACTCTCCAGTTGTTTTATGACTGGGTTTCTCAATATGCCTAAATCCTTTGTTGTAACAAAGACTTCATCTGTGCTTACAGGTAATTTCTTCTATCTTCCCTAGAAATCTTCTCGTTGTCCTTTTTTTTTCAAAAAGAACTATTTATATGTCTTAAAAGATGGCAGAACCTAGCAGTTTCAGATATTTTGCCTAGAAGAATATGTATATAATACACAATGATAATAGAGGTTTTCTTACAGTAAGTTCTTGTTCCCTTTTTGCTGTACTACAAGACAGTTGTTATGCAGAACGTTGTACACACAACTTACTCGAACTAGAGATTGCTCTTTTCAAACTAGTTACACCTACAGGGTTGTGCCTCTCTGCTTCTGGAAAACAGAGTTAGGAAATATTCGACGTACACAGAACTCAAAGAGAAAGCAGCCCAAAGCATGGAAATCCATTGGTCACTGATGTGAACAAGTTGAGCTTAGAGGGTCCCCCATAGCCAAAGCCATAGCCATGGCATTATCGAAAAGTCTCTGATTTATCACTGACTGATCGAGGCAGACCAATTAATGCTGAGCTTATTCAGGACTTCTGGAAGGTCGGTTACAAGTCAACCTGGGATAACTGACAGATTCTGAAATGGAGAACGTATGGTATCATGCTACCTGTGCAGAGCAGTGACAGCACAGTGTGTCAGCACTTCCAGTGGCCAACGGCACCCTGGCCTGTATCAGGAACAGCGTGGCCAGCAGGAGCAGGGCAGGGATTGTGCCTCTGTACTGGGCACTGGTGAGGCCGCACCTCGAGTGCTGTGTTCACTTTTGGGCCCCTCACTGCAAGAAGGACATAGAGATGCTGGAGCGTGTCCAGAGAAGGGGACGGAGCTGCGGAAGGGTCTGGAGAACAAGACCAGAGATACTCACACCTCAGAAGTTAGCACCTATCTTCTCCTGTTTGGCACCTGTGAAACAGACTGCATCTTTCATCATTCATCCCTCTGTCAGTCCCAAAAGCTACCTATACATCAACCTTGCACGCTTGTTGTTTCTCTTTTATTCTCTTTTTTAATTGAAGTTAGCTATGTCTAAGGCATTAATGACACTGACGATATCTCACAATAACATTATCTTTTATTAGATCTTATTTTACATATCCCCATAAGATATAAAATCTTCGAAGAGAAAATATCAAAACCCTTCAATTCAAATCAGTTCGTTTCAGACAATACGAGCAAGTAAACCAAAGACATACAAGATAAAGGAATGTAAAAAAGAAAAAAATCAGTATGCTGATATGGAAATTAATTACAAAGTTTCAAAACATTTCTTACACAGCATTGTCTTTAAAACCATACTGGAAAGTAAAAGATGCTTGGTTCTCTTAACCAGTAGTTATAAACCCAGCAGCTACAAAAACAGGGGAAAAAAAAGAAAAGAGTATGATTAATTTACAAGGCCAATGCACAGAAAAAAGCAAGAACTTAATCAAAATATAAGATATAACAAAAACACAGTTTAAGAATTCATTAAGAGTTTAAAAAAAAAAAAAAAAACAAACAAAAAAAAAACCTTCGACATCCAAAATCCGGACCAGCTAAAGTAAAATTTACTGAGAGACTCTGCGTGGAGTTTTGACTTAGTTAAGGATTTCAGGAAAGGATCACAAATTGAAGGCTGTTCTGTGGTCGCACAAAAAATGGAGAATAGAAGAACAAAGATTAAACCTGCTGGTTAAGGAAGATTCAGGCATCATGATTGTACAGCTGATGATGAAAGAAAAGATCCAGTGTTATAGGAAACACCATGTGGAAGCAATTCCAACAGGCAAAATACATTAAAACTTTATTGCATCAAAATTTTTATTTTTCTGCCTAACAAAACTGAAACAGTATTCTGAAAACTCTCTTGCGCAGAACACATAGAAGTCTCTGAAGCATTTTAATTCTGAAGATGCAACAAAATAAATGTTATGAAAACTTTCTCCTGGCAAGTTTACCAAGTTCCAACAAAAATAGTATTTTCAAATACTACAGCTAAGAAAACTTACAGTACATGTTTATTGCATGAAAACATCCATTTATTGGATCCATCTGATACTTTCATTTGTGGTTAGTGGTTCTTATATTCTTGATATAACTTGCACCAGATCCTATTAATTATTCCATTAATTACAAAACACACAGTAGATTGAATTAAGTAGGGAAACCTACACAATCCCAACAGAGATCCAACCTATGACAATGCATGAAATGAAAGTTTCACTTTCATTTTCTTTTAAGATAGCCTGTAGCTGCATGATAAATTTGACACACTATGGAACAACAATGATGAAATTAAAGACAGTAGGCAATATTAGAGCTGGAAAATAGCACAACTTCTTACCAGTTATGATGACTTTTCATGCATTACTATTAAAGATAAGCAATGATGTATGGAAAAGTAAAGCATAAGCAAGAGACAGAAGAAAGGGTTATGAAGGCAAATGAAGACCAGGAAATGGGATCATACTCAAGTGCATGTTTATACATATTAACTGTAAACAGCAGCTCTACTTCGGGAAATATTTTTCAGACTTGAATGGCTTCAGCACTAAATATGAATTACTTAACGTGTGAAAACAAAGCCAAAAGCAAGACTCCATTCTTCAGCAATGTGAACACTGGCAATGCAAGTGAGGTTGCAGGTTTGAAAAACGTTGTTTAAAATATAGGCACATGATTCTGAATTAATAGGTCACCACAGTCTGTGACATGCAAGTACATGTTTTGATGGGTTTGCAAACGATGTCTTGCTATCAACTCTCTGCATCAAGTTTCAATTTCCTTGAAAGCAGCTCAATTTAGATTTTACAGTAATTCTATATTTTTTTGTCTGTTTCATGTTATGACATCATTTTAATACATTCAGATAGTCAAAATGTTCAGAATAAGATAGCACAAACTTGGTGCAGGAGGACATAGATCAGAGTGTGGCCAGCATTGTCAAATAGGAGATACACAGCTTAAGTATTATATAAACTACCTTTCCCCAAAAAACATTAACATACACACCAAAATTGTAACAAGACTTATCAAAAAATAAGGCACATTTATCTTGATATGGTAATCTTGAAATAGAAAACTCATTTCAGAGAACATCGGTATCTAAATGAGTTTTATAAAAAATCTCGTATTCATGATAATTATGGACATTTCTCATCATACATGATAATGGAATAATTGCACATATCCCAGTGTGTCAAGTAACAAAATGGGACTTTTATTAAACGTTTCCACTGCAAAATTATTTTGTAGGTTCCTGTTTTCCTATTTACATAACTCAGGTGAATGGCAGAAGTATTAAAATCTACCATCACTTATCACAAGTACTGCAGGCTTTCATTTTACCACAATTAATAATCCCCTTTGTGTTGAATAAATTGAAATTAATTGTGGAATAAATTGAAATTATTGTCATTTAGATAAATGATTGTAAATATTTGGACATTAGCTACTACACAAGAACTTTTTATTCCATTTTATTTCCAAGCTGCATCAGAACCCTCTGCACTGAATATTTTGTACATAAATTCAACAAGGATCAGCAAAGAAGGCTGTTTAAAATCCAATCCCCTCTTCATGAAAATTAAAACACCAGAAACATCATTAGTTAGCATTTAACCTGAGATTTAATCTGTTGAGAGGTTAACATCCTTAGAAATTTCTTCACTTGTTGCATTAACATATACTGATGTTGCTATTTTATGAAAAAAAAAACAACCAAACCCAACAAAACAAAACAAAACAAAAAAAACCAACAAGAAAACCACAAACCAAATAAAGTTGCTTGCAACATGGCTTTTCACTGTGTTGGTCAAAAAATTATAGAATGCATGTTTTTCTCACAGTATCCAGAAGCTGGAATAATAATAATAATGTGCTTCTTATTGCACGTGAAACTTAGAGGAAATATAATTGCAGATTCCTCTTCTTTATCTGAGTATTAAAGCCAGATTTCATCTTAGCCGAATCCGGAACGTATTTATCTCCATAGAACTCATATTTATTTCACTTAAATTTCTGGCATCTGGAGGTGAATGCATCAAAGATAAAGATGCAGGTGTAAGACTTTCCACTCTGAATTTGTTAAAGAGTTTATGCACCTTTATCTGGAAAAAAAAAGAAATATATTTACAAAATACATTATATACCTTAAAATTTACTTTAATCTAATCTCTAACAAGGTTCAAAATGATACACCTTTTTATAAGTTTCCGCACAGCAATTTTTACAACAAAGATTATGAATATTTTTAAGTCTTGTGTCTCAAATGCTACACACTAAATTTGATCTTTTTAGGCAGTGTTCACTTGCTACATTTCAAAGCAATTAGGTTAAATCAATATATTAAAAAAATTATCAGAAATATTTGGATTTAAACTCTCCTTGTTTCTAAAAGATACCCCAACACTTACTCTTCTGCTTAAAGAAAATCCCAGATCTATTTCAAAATGTGTTTACAAATTTCTACAGATTCAATAACCATCCAGTCCACCTGTAACCCTCAGAACTAAGCTGTGTAATTTATGTTACGTAATTTTAAATATCACATCAATTCTACAGTAATTGCAAAACACGCAGGTATTTGCAGTTGTGTAGGTCATGTAAGCGAGCATGGGTAGACAAAGGACATGCTACAATAAGCAACAATTTCCAAGTAGCAGCCACATACTTGTGGATACGTTAATACTATTCAAAATATACAATTCAGAATATGTAATTTGACTCTTTACTTGTAAAGTTCTAAATAACTATTAAAAAATTATTCCAGAAATACTGATGTGCATTATATGAAAACAATACTTACAGGAATTTAATTACATTAAAACTGACCTACAAGTTTACTTGACACTTACACTGTCATTCCTACACACCAACAGATACACATCTTCAGCAGCTTTCAAAACAAATTAACTTACTACTCTGAAAGTGTAAGTCTTGAGAAATAACTACCTAGACTTCACGTACAATTTGATTGCAATACCAGTGTTTCTGCCATACTTGTAAGGTAAGCGACCAATGAAACATTAGTATACCTTTCCCTGAGTAGTGGAACAAACAAGACCCATGTCTCTGTTTGAAAATTTGCAGTCAAATCCCTTTCGGTGAAGAATCAGAGCGGCTTCATCTGACGGCTCAATATCTACCTACAAATAAACAAAATGAAGAATTACTGAAAGTAGCAGAGGTAGAAACACAGTTTAGGACCTCATAAAATTACCATTACCTTGCAGTGATAAAGCCACTTATGCCCTAAAAACAGCCTAGATTGAACAGTCATGTTCCTTTTAATTTTTGTAAGACTAAACACAGAAAGAACTCAACAGCAATGACAGTTTAGATTTATCAGGTACGACAGAATATAAACATAAGTTGATAACCAAGGAGTTCAAAGCTCAATAGATGATTCAGCATTTAAGTGTAGCTATCACCGCTATAGCAATTGGCTTCCCAGAAAAATTATATGGCAAACCCCAAAATAACCTAGAAATCATATGCTAATTCCAATAGCCAGTTTTAAATACTCATTGTGACTATGCTCCATCAAGCATTCATTTTGCAAAGCTGTCCCTTAAAAATCTAACTCAGCTTACGGTGTACACAAAACCATGCCCTAAAATAAAAATATTAAATATTCTTAACATTTATTGATAAGACATACAGTGCTTTTGAGCCTCAACTGGCACCAAAGAGTAACCCACCACCTCAACTTCCTAGTTTGGACCAAATCACTAACATTACTTAGGACAAATGGTCACAAAACCAGCATATAAATGCCTCAAATCAGAATCTTGTTTTGGTATGTATTTCAGAAATCAAAGCCATACCCAAGAACTGTCTGAGAAACTTCAATTTATTAAAAAAAAGTTTTTTTTTTCTTTTATATTAAGACATAAAAATCCCCATGAAATTACACAGTAAGAATAAGAGAAAACAAATACTTCTTCACAATTACAGGCTAACATGCATGCAAGCTACCGTCACACCACACAAGTGGCACATGAGAAGATGCCCTTCATGCTGCAAGCTGTTTGCCTTATTGCTACGCTCACGTTAGTGATTTTTTTTCTATCATGCATTACTTCTTTTATCTCTTTTTTGTTGTTGTTTTACACCCATGAGCTCTTCCTTCATCTTATTACATATATCACAAGGGCACAGAAAAGATGGTTCTACCCACAGCCAAGCCAGCTCTTCAGGTTATTTTTTGCTAATGCATTTCTGGTTTACTTGGTTTTGTCCTGGTGCTTTTTCCCAAGTCTCTGCCACAAGTTACATTTATTTTTGGTACTTCAGTAAGTATCTGTTCCCTTGGAGAAACCTATGCCAACAAGCAGTAGGCATTTTGTGATACTTTAGGTCTTGGAGGTGTAACAAATGAGGGAGGTCTGAATCTACAGCCTTCAGATCCAAATCAACTGTCTCCTAATAAAGGAGACTATGGAACAGCTTGTAGTACAACAAATTCGTAATATTAGGTACTCATTCAGATAATAAAAAATGGTAAACTGATAAATGTAGTATTAGTGTTTTCTAAGTATGTTCCTCATTTAAAATAGTGAATCTTCACTCAACAGTCCGCGGAATTGAATGAGATACTTTGCAGTAAAACACTGACTGGTAGAAACCTTGCATAATGCAGAAATCATGAATAAAACTCAGTTTGAGAAGATTTTCAAGAACATTAGCTTATCACCTCCTAAAATCAGGTTTTGAAATTAATGAATGGTGTCTAAAGTCCGCATATTCAAACAAGTTTTCTGTACTTAGTATTGCTGATGGTTGAAAGAGTTCTTACCCTGTCACTGGAAGAGTAGTACCACTTTCTACATTAAGTACGGTAACAATCAACATGTGACAAAATTATTTTCTGTCTCCAGCTAAGAAATACCTGACTTGGTTTGCATTGTCACTAATGTGACAGTGTTGCACTTAAAAAGCAGACATTTTTATGCACACAAAATAATATCATCTGCCTAAACATCAGATTAGTGAAATACTGCAACTCATACTGTAAAAGCCTGACTTCCTATGGGGTAAATTGACGTTAAAAATGACAAGTCAGTAATGGGTATCAACACTTTCTCTGTTACAGTGGAATTATCCTGCAGTCATCTGCATAAAAAATGCATTTATGCATTTCAAATGACGGCATGAATATTTCATCTCTTCAGTTCTTTAAAATCAAATATTATCTTAATTAAGATTCAAAAGATTTAAACCAGAAAGGTAATAAACAATTAATGACACCTTCAGGAAAGGAGTTTTTGTAAATATAAACATCTTGATATAGTAATCAATCTTTTAGACATGCACACAGCATCCACGTGTAATACATTAAGCTGTTCTAACCTACTGTCAAAGCAGGTGTAAGACTGAGCAAGCTGCCCCAGCCTCCACATCTATTTTAACTTACCTCTTCTTCTATCACCTCTAGGTAAATTAGATGGTGTATGTGAGCTTAAGGAACATCTGCGCAAGGATGAACCTAATTTACATCCAATACATCCTCTGAACAGGGCCATGCTAACTGCATGAAAACATGTAATGTATTTCTCAATTTTCAACAAACAACAGTATCCTTAATCTTGTAAAACGTCATAGCATTGTTATATGACAGAAATTCCCTAAATACTGTACTATCAAATCTAACTGCTTTTCTTGGAAGAGCTGCCAAAGTTTGATTTGATTTTGATCTTTGAGAAATAAAATGCAGTTCTCACATCAGGCTTCTAGATAAAAAATTCTCTAGGCAGTATCCCAGGGCAATGCTGCTAAAATTTTGATGAGCAAGAAAAACCATTTAAACATTTTATCTGATTACTGCAAGCTAACAGGCCTGCATTGAAAAGTTCAAGCAACATGACAAAAATATATATATTTGTATGTAGTATAAAGGGACAAATGTACTCTGTTTTCAAATCTTGAGGCCTAGGAAAAAGTTCTTCACGGAGAGGGTGGTGAGGCACTGGCACAGGTTGCCCAGAGAAGCTGTGGATGCCCCATCCCTGGAAGTGTTCAAGGCCAGGCTGGATGAGGCTTTGAGCAACCTGGTCTAGTGGAAGGTGTCCCTGTCCATGGCAGGGGGGTTGGAACTGGATGGTCTTTAAGGTCCCTTCCAAACCATTCTGTTATTCTACGATTGGTGAAATCTGTGTCGAACAAAAACTGAAGCTTTACCACAAATATCTTTATATTTCATCTTCCTATGGTATTGAACTCTTTCATGACAGGATCACGTATGTCAACACAATAGCAATATTATTCCCACTGAAAGGAGCAGAGATTACAGGGAAACTAGGAATTCCCTTATGTTTTTTCTCATTTATGCTTTTATGCATTTTCATGCACTCTGTTTTCTACCTGAAATCTTACTTAATCATACTTTAACTTGGTACCCTTTTACATGAAATTTTAATGGTATAATTTCCTGAAAATCAACTTCAACAGCTAAAGCAATGCCAAAGTCTACATTTCTGCAAGAAAATGCATTGCATCAGTTATCCAAAATTAGGACACTGTCATTCAAATTCTTGGAAGAAGGAGAAAGGAAGCAGAAAGTGAGGAGAGATTTAAAAAGGCCATTTTGGCATGCAATAAATTGTATGCACCATTGCTGGTGGGAAAGAACTGTTGTGTACCTGTAACGACAGCTGTCCTTTCCTGTGACTTCTGCTAACGTTCACTTGGAAGTGCATAAAGTAATGCTTCAAGCTCAAGAGTTGTCCATCAAGAAATCATTACAATACACAGTTGTGGACAGGGAAGAGATCACAGCCTCAATCAATCTTATACCAACTGGGATCATAAGGCCTTTACAGCCCAGATAAAATTGTAGAATTCACCTATTAGCAGTAACATCGACTCAAAACAGCAGATGCAGAGCCAGCCTTCCATACCACAGACTTCATGGTGACATGATACAAATGAGGGGAGGAAGTTTAGGTCTTGAAAAGGAAGAGGGGGCATGGGCATGTTCATGGAGGTCTGTTCCCGAATTTGACATGCTTAAAGAAACAGGTGGTGCTGAGGTAAATGAAAAAGTTTTTACAGTGAAGCATGGAAAATACACTCCACATGAAAATTCAATTCAATACAAAGCTTCCTCCTAACTCTCTAAAGGCGTAGGACCCGAAGAATCAAGAGTTATTCCACTCTGAAATCCAAACCAAGAACCAGTCAGAAGACTACAGAACAGGCCAACGTAGATGAAATCTTCTGCTCTTCAGCTTTGGGAATGCACTGAAATATATCCCCTTCAGAGGCAGAATAATGCACTATGCGTATTACTGTGCTGTGAAAAAACAAGCACTGTATTTTACGTTACTCAAACAAAGTCTCTAGTTCTTACAGAATTAACCCAAACTAATCATCACTCTGCAGACTATCATAAACAAAAAAAAATCACTAATTACTTTCTGAGAATAAAGTATTTGATGAGGCTATATTGATATGCTATATCACACGTTTAGTCATAAAAACAGTGGTTTGACCTTACCTTTGATTGGATTGTCCTCAGATTGACTATATGCATGTCACAAGGCATGGATGATGTGAGTGGAGAAAAAGTGCTTAGCAGCTCTGGGACACCTGAATCTGCATATGTTGTCATCGGAATTACAGGATGATTTAAAAAAGAAGAAGTCATATGACTAAGAAGTGAGGGGAAACTGACCGATGCCTTCTCTTCATTCTGGAAAATACAAGAGAGAATATTTATCAAATCAAGTTAATACACCACCATGTCTAGATTTTGAAAACCACTTACTTTATATATGATTCCAATAATTTAATAGAAGATTTTAATTTATAGACTGCCCATGGAAGTTCTGTTCATGCACTAATTCTCTTTTCTAGTATTATGTACGCTTCCTGTTTTTACAACTCATTAGTACATTTTTCAAAGTGATCATGACACCTCATTTGACACTCATACCCCCCAGACTTCTCTGTTAGCCTGTGATGTATGAACAAAGTAGTTTAGAGAAGGAAACCACCTACTACTTTAGCCAGTTGCTCGTATTTATTCAGCATCTACTTCAATACTGACAGCCATCCAGTCTTTTCCAGGGTTCCTTTTCCACATATGTTTCAAATCTACGTTCTTCAGATTCACCTAACTTGTATCCTGCATCCCTCCCTCTTTTTAAATCTCACTTCTTAAAACGGTTTTCTGGAAGGAATTGCAACTAGGGTCTTTTTCTTGGTCCGCAATGCAACAGATTTCTTTCAGCACTTTTATTTCAACGTTGTGCCAGCAGGACCTGAAGGGAGTCTCACAGGACTTTCTCCCAAGTTTTTACAAGTTTTGTATTTTCCCAAGTTTTGCACCTGCAGTGCTTTTACATGGCTGCAGAAGCTGTGTTACAAACCCAAGATGACTAAGACCAATGTATTCACAACACCTAGTTAAAGTGCCACAGAAGCCAGAGAAGTAAACAAAGGAGCTTTGAAAAGGCAATTTCTGTTTCAGAATGTCAGTGAAGATAAGGTAGAAATGGGTGAAAACTTATTTTGCACTTACTTTTCCTTGCATACTTAATCAGATAAATCCCTGCTTGTTTATAGTTAACATGATTTTTAGTGAAAACTTTGCTGAAAGTTCACTGGAAACATATCATTTGATATCTTAAATTTACATTTTATGATAGGTTGAAAACATGGAAATAAAAAAAATAAACAGGAGATACTTAAAGGGGACTATCATTTACCAGCTCATAAAGGACAACCACAACAGAAATTACTGTTTTGGGGTGCATATGCACGTATGCATATTTATTTATACCTCTGCAGTACGACTGAATATATCTGACAGTGTAGCAATTGAAAACATGCCAGAGCTGAACTGATGCAAGATGATAATTTCTGTTTTATTCCAGGTGCTTTTCTTAGTAATGACTCAAACTGTTTACCCCTTTGGTAGCTGCTAAGCATTGAGACTAGTATTTTTACAGATCTGCTATGACCCTCAAATTACTTTCCAAAAATGGCAATAATTGATAGCTGTAGAGATGGCCCCCCCATGCACCTCACTACATTTATTTACAGTGAATTTCATCTGAGACTTTACTGTATGCTTGATCAGTCTTGAGTTTTCCAATTCTTCAATTAGCCTTGATTTTTTTTTTTTTAACTACCTTGAATAGTTCAGTATTACTGGCAAGCTTCTTTGTCATGATTTTTCTTTTTTTCCAATTAAAGTGTTAGCAAGCTTGCTCTAAGTATAGCTAAACCTAGCAGTCTTTATTTCAAATGACTGCATCCAGGCTTTGCCCACAGGGAGAAAGAAATACATGTTCTTTCAAAGAAGAATTCACCGTTTCACACCAAGAGGAACACGGTTTATTCTGCTGCCTAGATGTGCTAAAGTCAGTCAAAACATTTTATTGCCAGAGTTTTCATACTATTATTCTTTTTTTTTTTTCCTGTAAAATAAATTGACTGTTTAAAAAAAGAACTCAAAAAAAGGTCTCCTGGAATAGCTTACGAAGAAGGACTGGCAAACGCTAGAAGGAGAGCTGATTCAACTTGGCTCATTTTGCTCCTGCTGTGCGTAGATGTTTTATCGCAGGCATAAGCACTGTACATAAGCGTTATCCAAAATTTAAACTTTGAAAAGCTGCAAAGACTTAGGTGGATATTTTATCTTGAATCTTGTATTCCCAAACCTGGAACAACAGTCAGTTTTGGATGACTGCACCAACAGAAGATGTGCAGTCATTCAGTGAATCTATGTAACAGCAATGGAAACGGAGAGTAAAGCAGGTGTGAAAAGCTCCCAGGAGACTGAAGGGAAAAGGGTTTTAGGAACACGTGAAGACAATGCTATCACAGAAGATTCAGAAGGGACACTTCAAATTCCACTCCCCCCAGGTACATCACAGTAATTAAAGGATTGGAGTATGTCCTTCCCCTCTCAATCTAGTGATCCAAAATTTAAACAGGACTCTGGGGAAACTGAGAGATGGGAAGGGTTTGCACATACAGACAATGCATTTGGAAAAACAGTTACTCTGTAAGCACATTCACTATGTGGGCGGCTTTCAGCAGCACCCTGCTGATGCTAAGTCAGAAGACGTAGTCCCACAGTCTCCATCTAATTAACGTACTGCTCTCTCTAAAGTGGCATTATTTCCTCAACTTCAATGACAGTGTTTAGCACTCAAATTGTGAATGGAGCTCCACTGGCAGCCCTACAAACATTAGGTACTGGCAAGATTCTGATGAGTGCCACTGACAGAGCAGAGTGCTGGCTTAATGAGCTCTAATCAAAGCAAATACTGCTTTTTTAAACTACCTTACAGCACATTCATATACAGTTATCCAATTGGAAACTGTCTGTGTTGAAATACAACCCTCTGAATGACTGTGCAATAGATGTAAACAAATCCTCATATAGGATATTTCTTTGTCATCAAAAGTAAAGTGAATAATTCTAAACTTCTAGTTTTCAGGAAAAACTAACAAACCAACCACACTCCAGTATAACCTTAGGTTACAATTTGCATCAAGTTCTAGGAATGGCCTCACCTATAAAACGTGTTCTTATATCGGAAATGAGCTATTTTATTGATAAATAGAGGATGGAACATAATAAGAAAAGACTCAAAGGATTTTCTGCTAAGAGTTTAAATTGAGGAACTGAAGTCCTTAATTAGAGGGAAAAACACTAATTAGACTCTTCAGAAATCATTTAGTAATTGAATGGAGGAAAGAAATGGAAAATACTGTAGAGAAGAAAGTAAAGCTGAAACAGTTGATAATTGGACTTCAATTGAGCTAAGAGAGAAACAATTAACTTTTCCACACAGACGAGTAGTCTAAAATTTCTCACACAAAAGTAATGGAAGGAAAGTGAGGCAGACAGAATATCAAATCCTGACTATTTAGTCCTCCTCTAGACAGTTCTGTGCTATGAACCAGACAATCTTAGTCAGGAAAGAAATCCAGTTGTAACTCCAAAACTCCACCAGCATCCAAACTATCCAATCAAACATGCTGAAACATGGCTGCTGATTTTGGATGTCAGTGCACTCAAAAAAAAAAATCTGGAAACAGAATTCTGGGCCTGCTAAAACAAGGAACGCAGATCAAAACAGTCTGATAGCAAACCACCTGTACTATTCCTGGAAGGAAAAATATTTCTCACGCTCAGGTTGTGTGAGGAAAAAATTTTTATCAAGTTTCTCTGTCGCAGTTCAGAAAACCAGCTGGCAGTACCCTTTGAAGAGTGCTTCTGGACTGGAAAATCTAAATTGTGGAGTAAAAGGACTCATCAGAACACCTCTAGCCCCAAAATGTTGGAGACAATATTATTAAATATCTCTCAAACATAACTGAGCAACCGACAGCAACCAAGATGTTCAGCCAAAGAACCTAAAGCTTCCCAAAGGCAAACATGGAAAGAAAAATTTGCCTGTGTCAATGTATCATTCCCTTCCTTCTGAGGTCAATGTTTGGAGCGAGATTTTTGTGTGGCTGTGAAAATTCCTGGTGCTTCTGAGAAGGAGAAGGATGTTACATCATTGGGCTTACACCCATAATGCAATAAACAGCAATTTGTCACTGATGAGAACTGGATCTGTTCTTCTGACGTGAATAATGCTTTTTCAGTGTCCAAGAGTGCAGTGCTGATCTAAGCATGTGTCAGAGAATATACAGCTCATCACTTCAAGCAGATTTGAAACTGGCTAAGGGTTTCAAAGGGAATTTTGTATGGAAATCAAATAAGGTGATAGGAAGATCTTCTCTGAGCAGTGGGATTCAGAACACCTAAGACCTCAAAGCTGTGCACAAGAAATCTTCAGCAGAAAATTCTTCAGGTAATCTCTGTGAAAAAAGCAGGTCCTCTACAACAAATTAGACTTCTATAGAGGCCTGGATAAATTGCAACCAGAAATAAGCCACAAATGTGAGTATGGAATAGGCATCTATCCTGAAATCTTACAAAGACTAGAAACAAGAATATTGATGCCAGATTATTTTCTGCTATACTAGAACATCAGTCTTTCCTGAAATCCCGCAGAGCAAAAATACTGAAAATTGTAAGGATCAGATCTGCCTGAATTGTTCGTGTATACATTTTTGTCAACACTGAAATATTCATCAGTGACATTACACTTCTGTGTATCAAAGCATAAATTCTTTTGTCAATATGTTTCAAGTCCTTTATTAAGAACCATGGTCTGGAATGCTTAGGGTTTTTTGACACTTAATGAAGTGACCAACAAAGGAGGACTCAACTGAGGAGACAAAAACTGGTATTTCCTCTTTACCTCAGGGAAGGTAAGATTTTCTATCAATTCACTTGGAGCCTGTTACACTGGAAACACATTTCTGCCACACTAGGTGAAAGGGGTACCTGGAAGCTGATTATAGAAGAAATGGAAATCTGAGGCACTGTAAAATATCCAGGAGGCTGTGAGTTGGTTCAGAGCGACTCTAAGATCACCACATTTTCTGTACCTTCTGTGGATTCTCAGCTGCCACTGAGACTCCAGGTGAGGAAACCTGGGACTGCCACAGGTAACCAAATCCAGGGAAATTTAAACTCACAGGTGGAGTTCTTCCCAGTCTGCTAGAGACAAATTTTGTAGTCTCTAAGACCAGGGGACTCCTCTCATCTCTGACAGATGGGGTTATGCTCCTCCCAGACCAGGCAGGAGAAAGGCAGAGGGTGCATTCCCAAGAGGC